AAACGAAAAAAAAAAAGTGATGTTTTTTTGCCGATTTGAACTTGGACGACGAGGATGTTGCCATTAAATGTTTTTCTTGCCTATCTGAACTACGGCGACGTTGCCATGACGTGTTTTACCTGCCTATTTTGAACTAAAAGTGTGACTCCCGAGCAGTTTCCTCAAAAAAGAAACAGCATGTTTTTTTTCTGTCCTCACCTGTGTGACTACGCACACTTGCCTAGAGGGCAAAGAGTCAGGGCCGCGACGAAGTCCGCCCGTCTGACCACAGGAGGACCAAAAGTCCCAAATAAGCCTACCCAAATGCCTCAAAAATTTGAAACTTTTGGTCCTTGTGTGAGTATGCTGTCAATTTTTTTTTATTTTTTTTTTGAGATATGCTGTCAATTTCCCCTCACACTACCTAGCTACCACTACTCCTAATTATAGTCATACGGGAACGCCATAGCAGCCAGAACCGAGTTCACCAGAGAAGATGCCAGGACTGCTCCCGACCTGCAGGTGGGCTATACCGTCCAGGATTTTTTTTTTTGGTTTTGTTTTTCTATTAGCTCAGGTTTTTGTAGAAGCTGGCTAATAGACATATGAGAGTCACCTTCGGCACTCGGCCATGTGGTAGAGCCCCCCTAATCCTATGCGACTCCCTTCCAATATACCTCTTTCGTAATTTCTCCCGGCCCATTCCTACTCCCAGTATTCTACCTCAGTGTCTACCCCTCAGGATGGTCACCCTCCAGCCTGGCGGTTACCATGCCAACAGGACCAAACATGTGCCTCCCCTGAGGTCCCCTCCCCTACCGACATCAGCAGGCTCTGCTGAATGCCGATTGGGGGATCTTGTGGTCTATCTCTAGGTGGGGGGTGGCAAGCGTGCTCAGGAAGGTACGTGAGGCCAATTGGGATTGAACCTACAACCTCCTGAATGCCACTTGCCAGCCTTACCAACTGAGCGCGGCACAGGAAGATGCATGCGTGCAGAAATAAAAAAAGGCACCAAAACAGTTACAGGAAATGCCAGTCAAGCTGCGCCTAATTCCGGAAGCTAAATTGAAAATGAAAAGTTCGAAAGATAATTCCGGGCGTGAAATCTGAAATGCACGAATCCCTACACCTATTCCTATTCTTTCATTCATCAACAAAAAAATCATGGGTCTTGTAGGGACATCTTAAAAAATGCACATGCACAAGGATTGGATTCATTCCCAAGTATCTCAATGAGCACCTGCGATTTCCTGATTTGGAGAAAATCTAAGTATAGATAATTCTGAGCGCGCTCGTTGATTTTCGCTCGCTAAGGCGCGCGAAAATCCTACGTGAAAGTACAGTGAAATACAAAGAAAGTTCAGAAAGCTGCAGGAACGAAGAGTCAAGATTGGCCAATCTGTCCTGTGTATCGGGGCCCATCAAGTACAAGCCCTGTGAACAGTGAAAGGCCAAAACCATGAGCAAGAGATGCTGAGCCTGACATCACCATTCGCCAAAAATGCAGCCTAGACCGTGTAGAGGAACTGGAAGTGGATCAGATCGACCCCAGTTATTCAGAGAGCACTAAAAAAAGGGAAGCCTGGGAAGGCGGTCAGGAGCTTGCTCATGCAGAGAAGGTGGTGCATCACACGTAAGGCCATCCGAGGCCTGTACGGCTCGTCCATACGGACTCTGGCCCCTCCGTACAT